GTGTGTGTGTGTGTGTGTGTGTGTGTGTGTGTGTGTGTGTGAAGGACTCTCACGCTTTTCTGACCCATGTGTGAAGTGACTCCTGAACTCGTCTGGAAAGCTGAGCCATCAGCCCTGGTACTGCCGAGCTCAGATAGTCAGTGTCGGCCCTGGTACAGTGGAGACCAGAACGTGTTGTCTAACACTGACTCACACTGTTGGCCCCACCCAGGGGTCCCAGCGCCCTAAGAACTCCTGCTGGGATGAGTGTGACTCTGATGGCAGAGATGTGGGTACAGACTGCTATCACCGAAGCAGCGATGCACTCAACAGAGACGGGTGTGGCGCTCGAGGGCTTTGTTGCTTTGCACACTTGGACTTTGGCTGGGCTCTTCTCTCATGACTGCTGCTCACAAGTGCCCTCTGTGCCCTCCCGTCTGTCCTCGTGCCCTCACTGCCTCCTGATGGCTCCTGGCCCTTGCTGGACCCTCCTCTTCCTGCTCAGCACCACTACGCTGCTCTGGCAAGATGTTCTTGGCATGTCAACAGGCGTGTCTGTCTGTCTGTCTGTCTGCCTTGTTTGTAACTAGATCCCTAGGATCTGGCCCAGGTTTTTATCATTGGTTTGATGAACATGCCTCGTCCTCACTCAGAGCAGGAATAATCACGCCTTTGGGAGTTGTGAGGCTTGAATTATGCAGCGCGAGCCTCCCGTGTGGGAGGGGCCCAGCAAATGTTGATTAGCATTCCCCCCATCACAAGCTCCGCACGCCAGCCACACACAGCCCTGCTGGTGCTCAGTGTGGGAGCTCAGGGCAGCATGCAGACACAGATCTGTGTCCACAGCTGCTGCCCTTCATGCTGTGCAGAGTGTCGGGGCACACCACAGACTGAACCTGCAGATTTCCTCTTTAAGGTCAGAGTAGCTGTGACATCTCCCGTGATCTAGCCACCACCAGTTTATACAGCACACACTCGCACACAAGCATCAAAGAGTGAGAACCTCAGACCTCTCTTTTTCTCTAGAATTTGGGGTTCCGGGTCCTGCCCAACAGTAGCAGGGCCCCTTTAGATCGTGGTTTTTCTGTTTGAAGACAGACCCCGACAGTGGCAGACTTAGCCCTCAGCTGACTGGGCCGCTTTGGCTGGGTGTAAGAGACCCCCACATGATGAGACACTGTGGCAGAAGAGCCTACAGAGCTCCGGCGCTGTCCCCAAACCTCGAGGCAATTAGTTGTGCAAAAGGGTTGTGCTTCTTCTGTAAGTAGCTGCTCTGCCCCTCAAACCCCAGTGGCCAGCCTTCCAAGCGTGGGGATGGATGCTGGCTTTTCCAGCTCTAGGCCAGGGCCTCCCCAGTGCTTACAGGAGAACTTCCCGGCTGAGCGCTTAACTGACCTCCTGAGAAGGGGTGGGAAGAAGAGCCAGGGGCTGACACATTCTGGGAGCCAGGCCTCTCTCACGTGCCCAGGCTAGAGCCGTTCCTCTGGATCCCTCCTGGTTCCGGATGTCTGTGGTTCCAGGTGTGCCTGGCTCATGCTGCCAAGGGCTGTGGCAGTGTCTGTTGTTTCTTGACGTATGGCCCATGATCCTGCTTCTTGAAGACCCACATTACTAAACTCCTACATCAGAGACCAACTTGTACATCCATTACCCTGGACCATTTTAATTTAAAGCGTCTTTGTTCGTTATCACAAGCGTTGAGTTGTTTGTGCTTATAAGAGGGTAACAGCTCAGGAGACCCATATATGGATGGGGCACCGAATTTCTCTCAATTCATAAGGCTTTTTCTTTCCAAATAAGAAACTAATGCCAGAAGGAGAAAAGCGTGATGCTGGCAAATTGGGTTTGTCCGTGTCTTCTGTCTCCTCCTCCATCCCTCCTCGCCCTCCTCTTCTCTGGTTCTCTTCTCCTCCTCCTGTCACAGCTCTCCCCATCAACTACAAGTCTGCCTTGTCTTCTGAAAGTTGGAGAGTAGAGAGCTTAGGGTTTCAAGCTTGTAGAAAGGGTTATTGTGTGTGTGTGTGTGGGAGTCTAGATTTAAAGCGCACACACACATACATACACACACACACTTGGAGAAAAAGGAAGGTCTCAGGGCAGCACTGAGCTCCTGGGAGAGCAGACGGTGAACCTTCCCATGAGGCACATGAAAAGAACACAGCAACTCTGCCCTGAGATGAGCACAGATGGCAAAGCTTTTGCATCCAAGGGAGAGATCTGTTCATAAACCTCACCGCGCTCTCCTTAACTACCCAGGCCGGCCCCAGTGCCTCACGTAGAGCCGAGAATTCTCTGTGAGATGAAAAATGCACATGGATCTCAGGCAGGATTGGGATGGAGGGGTGAAAAGAAAGTTAATTCCAACTGTAATAAGAGCAAAGAAAGAAATGTGAGTTTAAAACGTGGGAAGAAGACTGCAGCTGGTCAGAGCTGGAGCGTGTGCTGGAAGGAGGCCGCACAGAGACGAGGTTAGAAGTGTAATTCAGAACAGGAACTCCAACCAGCTGCCAGCATCCCCGAGTCGCCTGACAGAAGAGTCAGAAATAGTGTCGAAGTGTTCAGAACAATGAAGGGATGGCTGAAGAGGCTCGGCCTAGTAAGACGTCATGTGTGTGCTTTAAAGTCATGGTAACTAAGTTCATGAGCTCAGGGAGTAGAGGGAGGGCCCAGTGGTGAGATCGGGGTGCACTGCTCCTACGAGGGCCCAGTTTATTTCCCCGCACACGCACGTGGTGGCTCACAGCTGCCCATAATTCAGGCTCCAGGGGATCTGCTGCCCTCTTGTGGGTTCCACAGGAACCTGCACTCATGTGCACACACACACACACACACACACACACACACACGCTCATGTGCACCCGTACACACTTGCACACCTGGGCACATCCCTCCGTTCTTCGTAGAAGTCAGCTCTCCTCCGATCTCTGATGTGTGGTTGTATCTGCTTATTGCATATGCTAATTTATTAAGATCACGTCCCACTGTCCTCACACGGTTTTGTACTCCCTCTTTCACGAAGTCACTCCTCAGAGGCGTGAGTCTGCTGGAGAGTGAATCTGAGGGTTTTGGAGGTGCCGCCAAGGGCCTTCTGTTCATGAGAGCTGAAACAACTTGCACTATTTCCCTCTCAGATTCTGTCAGCTCTCTGTGAGGACATATGGTGCGTCTTTTCTTACCTTTGAAAAGGAGACAAAGCCATGAAATTCAGGCATTTGGGAACCAGTTTCCTCGCTGGGTGCTCTGCTAATTGGAAGCATCTGTAATTTGGAGCAGAAAGCGATGGGTGGACCGTGGGTCTGGGTGGTGCCATGGTGTGCGTTCTTTCTCACTGTGGTGAGTGTGTGCCGCTTCGTCCGGGGGTTCAGACTGGGACGCTCCCAGCTGTGCCGCGTGGCTTGGCCTCACCCTGGGCTTAGCAGTGAGCTTCTTCGGAAAAAGACTTGGCCACGGCTGTAGAATGACCTTGTCCCTTCTTTAATTCATCTTTTGCTCACTGACCCCTCAGATTTTTTAATTAATTTTTATATGTCTGTGTGAGTGGCTACATGTATGTATGTGTACCACATGTGTGCCTAGTGCCTGCGGAGACCAGAGGAGGGTGCTGGATCCCACAGGACTGGGGTTAAGGAAGTTCTGAGCCTGCAGCTGGGTGCTGGCCCTCGGCAGCGTGTCCTGACTGCCGAGCATGGGCTGTCTCTCCATCCCTGCCCCTGAGACTTGACTTCAGCATCACTTTCTGCAGACACTGGGCCCAGGAACCTTTGCACAAGGATGCAGGGATGGGGGAACCGCAGGAAGGATGCAGGCCTTAGGGACCAAGATTTCCAGGCTCACGTCCCTTCCTCTGCACTTTCACCCCTCAAGATGGAATTAAACCATCAGCCACATCAGGTGAAGGCCGCAGGCTGGACACACCTGCTCCACGGTTCTGAATTCTCTCCTGTGCTCCCTTTCCAGACACGAACTCACGTCAGCAAGGTCATTGTTGAAAGGCTTGCTGATGTGCAAAGATATCTGGTGTCAGAAATGGAATTGTATTTCTCCTCAGGACACTGTGCTTCCTCTCTCTCTCTCTCTCTCTCTCTCTCTCTCTCTCTCTCTCTCTCTGTGTGTGTGTGTGTGTGTGTATGTGTGTGTGTGTGTGTCTTTGTGTGTGAGAGAGAGAAAGAAAAAGACAGAGAGAGGACATCCTTAAGTGGTACTTTTAAGTTCTTCTCTCCCTGCTTTTCTTTTCTTAAATGAAGCCTGTCGTTGGCCTGGGCTTTCACGTTAGCTAAGCTGTTGGGCAGTCGAGCCCAAGGTAGCCTCTGCCTCCCCAGAGCTGAGGAACAGACACACATCTCTGCACCCAGCTTTTAAAAGTGAGTTCTTAGGATTGAACTAGAGCGTTTACACTCGGAGGACGAACGCTCGCTGGCTGAGCCATCTCCTGAGGCCACACTGTGTCGCTCCTGCAGGTCAGCTGTGCTCTCCCTGTCAGCCGTGGATGTGTCTGGAAGCGGAGTCCATAAAACTCGCTCCCCACCGTTCTGATGGCTGACTGGAAACTCGGCCTGGGGCCGGGGGCTCTGAGGAGTCCTTCCTCTGCCTCTCATCACCTCTGCCTCCCGGGTGTAGGCTTCGCTGTCATGTCGGCCGTGTGACACAGGGTGGATTGTGATGGGACAGTCTGAGTCCTAGGAGCAAACCCTTGGGCCCTCGGAGGTGGCTCCATCTTGGGCTCAGGCTGTGTGCCTCTGCCACACTCCGGGAATCTCCCACTTCACCTAAGCTAAAGCACTCTGGCTGCATTCCAGTTACGTCGAGTACTCGGCCCATAATGCGTTCATCATTTCATTCCACTCCACTCTCCTTCTCTCATTGCGTGAAGGTTAGGTTTGCCTGCTGCTTTAATGCCAGCTTGTTCAGTGTGTCTGTGGGGCCAGCCTCCCTGGCCAGGGAAGCCTCGTGTTCATTGCTGCATGCTCTTACCCCCTCCTTGTCTGATGCTGTGACAATCACCGCTCAGCCATCACATGACTAATTCCCGGAGGAACGTAGGTGGCTACAATGATCCATCTCTCTGGGCTCTGAAAGCCTGCTTATATTTGGCCCATTGCTCCAGGGTCACCATGGCAGGGGCTGAGGAAGTCCTTGGCTTTCTGTTTCTGCTGAGAGTGGGGCCACCGCTAGCCCCTCTGCCTGCCCACATCTCTGTCACAGCCTGTCCAGAGCTAGGTGAGACTCTCAGGCAGACCTGTCTGGACTGTTCCCTCTCCCTCAGGCAGGGCTGGACGTCACACGGGGGCAGAGTTAGCCGTGGAAATCCCCCATGGCTCTGGCTGAGCCGGTGGGTGAGCGGGGTCAGGTCAGGTGTCCTGCTCCTCTAGCCCATGAGTCCCTGTCAGCTCATTTCCCCAACTGGCCGCTTCTAGGTGAGCAGCAGGGACGCTGCCCAGATTCCAGCCTGTACCTCCCGGGAGCATCAGCTGCGAACAACAGAAATGTGAGACTACACACACACACACACACACACACACACACACACACACACACCTCAGCCGAGGAAACCCCCCTCTGAGGGCCAGGACAGTGCGTTAGTGTGACAGGCATTAAGGGTGGGGTCAGGGCAGGCCATGAGGGCAGGATGGCTCTGCTTCATTCACTCAAGACTGAACGCTGCCTTCTCTGTTGCCTGAAGCCTCCTCTAAGGAGAATCCATTCCAAGGAGCAACTTCTTCCAAAACCAAGCACAGGGCCAGGGGACCACTCCGTGGTTGAAACCATTGCCACGGCCAGCAAACGTGGATACAGGGGTTTGTCCCCAGAGGCCAGGGCGACCACCTCTCAGAAGCTGGAGACAAGGGACCCCAGAGCAAAGGGAGCCATGAGCCTGGAGCCATCAGGAAGCTCCGGGCTCGCCTGGAGAGCCTGCCTCAGTGAAGAGAGCGAGTGATCAGGAAAGATTCCCGGCGGCCACCATGGGCCTCTGCATACCCTGTACACACATGTGCGCCCACAGGCATGCACACCTCAAACATACGTGTGAAAATAAACAGAGAACACTTCCTCTTCGGGCTCAGGGATCGTCACAAGACCAGCCCTAGCTGCAAATGAGGCTGGGAAATGCTGCTTCCTGCTTAGAGAGGAAAACAAAGGAGGCTGGCCTGAGATCTTTGTAGGCACACAGTGCCTGCTGGGCCTCAGGAGAGTTCTTTGCCAGGGCTCTTGCTGACGGATGACTAGAGTAAGTTCTAGAACTGAGGAGCAGCCTGGACTCTCACCAGGTCGCCTGACTCCTCACTCAGCTCCACACTGTAGAAGCAGTTTCACATGATTGTGAATGAGGTGATACTGAGAAGATAAAACGCCCTCTGGAAAGTGAAGCAGTTGATAAACTCAAAGCACAGGAAGCTCCCCTAAAGCCCCACGTCCTCCCTGGGACCTGGGTTCATTCACTGTCACGCGAGCCTTCCTCTAGGCCCCCTGGTGCTGTGTCGTTTGTTTGTTTAAGAGTTATTCTGTTAACGTGACTGTTTTGCCTGTGCCCAGAGAAGCCAGAAAAGGCATCAGATCCTGTGGCACTGGAGTTACCATGGTGGTTGGGAGCCACCAAGTGGGTGCTGGGCATTGAACCTGGGTCCTCTGTAAGAGCAGCCAGTGCTGTTAACCTCTGAGCCATCTCTCCAACATCTATGTAGATTTTCTTAGAGTCCCACTCTTTCAGCAGGTGTGAGAGTATGTGTGAGTGTGTAAGAGTGTGTGTATGTATGTGAGTGTATTATGTGTGTATATATGTGAGTGTGTGAGTGTGTGTATATGTATGTGAGTACAGGTGTGTGAGTGTGTATGCTATTCCCGAGTTGAGCTCCTGATGGGTGCCAGAATATCGAAGGATTTCTGTGTCTTTGTTAATGTGCTGTTCTTGTCTTCTGTCCCCTCTGTTGTCGGACCAAACAGAAGTGTTCTGCTGTTTCTCTCTGCAACATCTCCACAGAAGTCCTGAAAGTCATCAACGCCACGGAGGAGCTGATCGCAGAGTCTGCGGGGTCCTGGGCGGCCCCCCCAGTGCCCCCCGACAGAGAGAAGGGAACATTTCCCCTCGGGACGGACCAAGCGAGCCTGGACAAGCAGCTGACCTCGCTGGAAGAAAACGTAAGGGGTGTGAGTGTGCCCAGTGGAGGGTGAGCGCCTCGTGAAGAGGGGAACTGTAGCTGTCCCCAAATCCTGCAAGGACCAGCACCCTCACCGCCGCTGCCTGTGTTCTCGAAAAGGCTGAGGCCGGGCTCCCCAGGAGCAAGGAGGAAGCCAGGAGTCCACCAAGTGACACTGGGGGGGAGGCACAGGGAAGTGGCCTTCTGTATGTGGTGGTGGGGCCCAGTGACTCCGGCTGTGCCTAGTTACACACGGGGCCAGGCTGCTCCCCCTCCTTCAGGAAAGGCGGCGCCGGGATGGGGAGGAAAGGGGTGAGGGAGGAAGCAGGACTTCAGCCTCTGCACAGGACATTCTTTAAAAGCCGCCCCGTGCTCCGTACGCCTCTGTGGCCAGCAAGCGCTCCAGCCTTCCAGGTGCCAGCTGGGCATCTGGACAGTGTGTGGTCCTCTGCGGAGTGTGTGGGATCTGGGCCTCCTGAGGCTTGGGGACAGGGAGGGTTAGAAAGAAAAAATCAGGGGATGGCGTGCCGGCTCCATGGCTGAAGTGCGTGTCACGTGAGTGTGAGGACTGGAGTTTAGATGCCCACAAGTCCACAGAAACGCCAGGTAGATGTGTTGGCGTGCAACACTTCCGGCCTGTGGCTCATGAAGGCAGGAAGCACCAGGGAGCAGAGGACAGAGAGGATTGGAAAGGGTCAGAGGCCGAGCGTATGAGCGGCCCAGTTCCAGCCCCAGGCCCACGTGGTAGGAAAGAACTGACTCCTGCAACCTGCCCTCTGACCTCCACATTCACACACACACACACACACACACACACACACACACACACTGTGGCACAGGAATGTACACACACTCAAACACACAAATAAATAAATGGAATTTTAGAAGATAAGTCATATGAGCCTGTTGCCTGGGTCTCTGGGCCAGGAAGCACGTTGGCACCGTCCCCATGGCCTCCGGCCCTGCCAGGCCCTTGGCTTTGGCAGTGAGTCCTTATGCACCTGTGCTCAGCAGCAAACCTCTGTGTCCCCCCCCCCCCCCCCCGCAGTGCCAAGAAAACAGACTTTCAGAAAACACATAGTGAAAATCCTAACATTCAGACTGTGTTGAGGGCTCAGATTATGTTTGCTGCTGCTCTGTCTCGGCTGTGATAAAAAATACACATCTGAAAAAGGAACACTGTGCTTGGTGCACACTTATGATCCCAGCGCCTGGGATTCAGAGGCAGGAGGATCTCTGTGAGTTCTGGGCCAGCCTCGTCTACAGAGTGAGTCAGGACGGCCAGGGCCACACAGAGAGACCCTGTCTCCAAAACAAAACAACAAAAAAGGAACATTAACGGGTAACAGGGTTGAAAATATAAACAAGTCCTGGGGTGTGGCCGTGCATGCACTCCACTGGTGTCCGGTAGAGTGGGTGGGTGTGTCACTGTCCTCGCCACCTCCAGCCCTCCCCATTCGTCTGCTGCGACACTCACGAAGGCTGTTCACCTGAATAACTCCAAACAACGCAGCTGAGCTCTCAGTGTGTTTCCCGTTGCTCTCCCTGCTCTGAGTCCCGGAGGAGAAGTGTGAATCGTCTCGCACTTTCCTTGTGTGTGGGGAGAGACTTGGAGGCTCCCTGCCTCGGCCGGCTGACGTGCTGATAAGTGGGGCGCCCGTCTCTCCGTCTCTCCCGGCGTCTCCGACCCCAGGTGCCTCCTCCAGCCTCCGCGGTGCTCAGGCCGTGCTGTCCCCGCAGGTGTACCTGGCGGCGGGTGCGGTGTACGGGCTGGAGGGGCGGCTGGGCGAGCTGGAGGACGCCGCCCGCCGCATCCACAGCGGCACGCAAGACACGGAGCTGGCGCATCTGGAGGACCAGGTGGCCGCAGCTGCAGCCCAGGTGCACCACGCCGAGCTCCAGGTGAGCCCCAGACCCAGGCTGGAAATGAACCTTCTTAGACCCCTGTGAGAGTGCGTCACAGTGCCAGGCGCCCCTGCGGGCGCACGGAGCCAACCTTCCATAGCTGGGACTGTCAACCCTTTTCTTTCTTTAAACTTTTTAAAACTTGAGGTGTGTTTTTCCCCTGTCTGTGTGTGTGTGCACCGTGTTGGTGCTTGGTCGGAAGAAATCGTTAGATCCCTGAAACTGAAATTCTGGATGGGCATTTGCACACAAGCGCACAAATCCGCACACAGCACCCAACACGTGCATGTGGACAAATCCTTTTAAGGGGGCTGGCGAGTGGGGGAATGAACGGCTCAGCCCGTGAGCGTGGAGCGGGGCTCAGACACGGCTGCTCCCATGAGCCATGCTCTGGAAAAGTGCCTGTCACAGATCGGTGCTGCTTCAGGCTGCTCCCAGCCAGCTCTGGGGCCTGGGGGACACTGGTAAAACACACTCACCTTGAACACCTGAGGGCCTGGTGTTCACAGCAGATTCCACATTTAAAAAAAAAAAATGTAAAATTAAGCCCGTAATCACACTACCAAGAAGCCAGACACAGCGGGTCCCTGGGGCCTGAACCTTCCAGTTCCGAGCTAGTGAGAGAAGCCATACGGTAAAGCACGCAATCGGAGACGGCGCTTACGCCCACACCACACCTGCTCCTGCCACGGCCCTGAGCACAGACCTGCAGGGTGCAGCAGACGCCCAGTCAGGGAGGGCACGCCTCGGCCTGCTGTTGTCTGCACTTCGGCCAGCGTGCGCCCAGTGTGAACCACTGACCGCTGCCAACAGGCGCCTCAAACCGCAGGTGGAAACGATGAGTGTTCACAAGGGAGTTTGAGGCTGTGTCCGGTTACTGAAACCTCAGCCGGGTCTCTCCAGGGCGTGACCTCCCAGCGTGAGCTCCTTCCTGCCCTACATCCATTCAGAGAGCAGCTGGCAAAACCCGTGTCTCTTGCTCGGATGGAGGCCTGGACCCCAGGGTTCTGCCGCCTTCGCCTGTTTGTTTGTGTGTGTGTTTGTTTGTTTGTTTTGGCCGAGCCAGCTACACCCGTCATTAGTAAAATGTAAATGAAGGAAAAAGCCGGGTGCTGTGCCCACGCCTGTAACTCTGGCACTTACAGGGCAGAGGCCAGATGACCCAGAGTTCCAGGCCAGCCCCGAGTGCGAGACCCTGCCGCAAAGAGAAAAGGCAGAACTGTGTGAGAGAGTGAGTGTGTGAGCGAGTGAGCGAGTGAGTGAATGTGTGAATGAATGAATGTGTGAGTGAGTGAATGTGTGAGTGAGTGAATGTGTGAGTGAGTGAGTGAAATCATGAGCGAATGCATGCACACACGATGGCAGCCTCAATCCTTCTGCGTTGGCACACTTTAACCCGACATGCTTCCTTTCCATGTTTGTGATCGCGTGTGCCCGTGGAGATTTCCGACATCGAGAGCCGCATTTCAGCCCTGACGGTCGCCGGCTTGAACATCGCCCCGTGCGTGAGCCTCACGCGCAGACGGGACCGGAAGCAGAAGAGCCAGGTCTGTCCGCCCCGCAGCCCCGCACAGCCTTGCACGCCCAGCACAGGCTTGCACGCCCCGAGTCTGCAGAGCTGCACTGACAGCCGTGTTTGTTTGTAGGTGCAAACCATCGACACGTCGAGGCAGCAGAGGAGGAAGCTGCCGGCCCCTCCTGTGAGAGGTGTGTGGCAGTGAGGACCACAATGGTGGGAGGAAGTCAAGGCCCCGTGTGTGAAGGCCAGACCCAGCGTGCCCTCTCCCCGAGGGCTGTGCTAGGCCCTCTTGTGAGTGTGTGAGACGGTGTGCTGTGAGTGCCCGTGTATGCGTGTGGTAGTGCGCGAGTGTCCCTGTGTGTGAGAGTGTTGTGAGGCCAGTGGCCTTTGGGCCCAGAGTCCTGGCTTACACGCTTGGTGCCGGCATCCACACTAGGCCTCCCTCTCACCCACCTGGGTCCCGCAGAAGCAGTGTGCCACACACGTGTGAGGTAGTTTGTGAGCAGAGTCCCGGGAGAGCCGGGGAGGAAAGCACTCATGTGCCCGACACGGCGCTTCCTCTCACGTGCTGGAGCTGATCTTGCCGCTTGTGCCCTTTTCAGCTGACACATCGGAAGCATCTCCTGTGACCCCTGCGGAGACACTCGGCCACAGCTTCCTCGTGCAAGGCTCCTGCACAAACAGGGCCCCTGACAGGAAGGGCGGCACGGCGGGCTTGGTGGTAAGTATTCTGCCTCACACTCGTGTGCCCCGTGCTGGGACCTCCATTCCGGGGCCTGACCTCCCTTCTGCCCAGAGAGCATGGGAGGCCACGTGCCTGTGCCAGGTCTCGTGGGTGTGTCAGGGCTTTCATTCCTGAGTGGTCTGTGTGCATCTGTAAGTGTGCCAGCCACGGGCGCCCGTTCCTAAACAGTCAGCAGCTGCCCAGAACCTGCCAGAGGGTCACACCCATACTCTGGGAACCACACGGGGGAGGGGGGTAATGCTGTGTGTGCACACCAGTGCTCGCACAGTGGGCGGCCAGCCTCTGCCCACCCTCACACACCTGGTGATCACACAGTGGGAGGCCAGCCCCTGCCCACCCTCACACACCTGGTGATCACACAGTGGGAGGCCAGCCTCTGCCCACCCTCACACACCTGGTGATCGCACAGTGGGAGGCCAGCCTCTGCCCACCCTCACACACCTGGTGATCGCACAGTGGGAGGCCAGCCTCTGCCCACCCTCTGCCCACCCACCCCTGCACACACGCCCCGAGTGTGCACACAACCGGCAATGGCACAGTTCGAGGCCTCTGTTGATGAATCAGCTTCCACAGCAGCAGAACCCACACGTATAAGGAGGCCACAGAGCTGCTCTTCCCATGGCCACAGCGGTGTCTGGGGCCCAGGAGTGTGCCCGCCCTCGGTGGTGGGAGCTGAGGCTGCTTGCTCACGTGTCAGTAGAGTGAGCAAGGTGGGTCTGGGAGGGAGGAGGGAGGAGGGCGGGGTCCACAGCCCTGCCCCAGTGTGGGTGAGCAAACCAGCGGGAAGGTCATGTCAGCCGCCGTGTCGGGTGACAGTGCCGGTGTGAGCGCCGGGTCGGGTGGCTGGTGTGTCACACAGCTGTTGACACCCTGTCCTCACCCCCAGGAGCCCGCCCCTGAGCCAGCGGGGACGAACTGACACGCCCGGATGTGCACAGCCAGTGAGCCACTGCCCGGCGCCCACGACAGTGCCTTGACCACCAGCCATGGAGTACTGTGCGCATCTCCGCCGAGGCCAATATCCCGATGCTGGCTCCGGGAGAGACCCTCGTGCCTGTGTGTGTCCCCTTGACCGGCCCGTGTGTGTTTTCTGATCTTTTTACCCCCATCAAGCTCCGTCCAATAAAAATGTCGGAGGGGAGAGGAGCTTCGTGCAAGGAGGGTTGGGGCCGTTACCGTGCTTTTCATGTCCCAACAGATGCTGGAGCTGGGGGGCTGGAAACGGTCTCACTGGGATCCCCACCCCGCCCTGTCCCCACCCCCACTCCTCCCTCCGCTCGGCCACACTGAGCTCCCATCCTCCCGTGCCACACCCGGGTCCCTTGGAGCCAGGTCTCCTTCTGAATTAGGGTTCTTGCACGGGTTTACCCAGGGGCCCGAGGAATGTCACTGTTAGTGTAAAGGACACAGACTCCGGAGGGGGCGTGTGAGTAAATGGACGATGGCAAAGCCGAGCCCCTCTTCTCCTCCAGCGTGTTTCCCACCACTTCAGCGACGGTGAAGGGAACGTGTGGAGGGTGGGCGGTGGTGACCTCGAGGGAAGGGCTCCCTGCGTGTTTGAGCGGAGGGGCTGGCCTGAATGCATGAGTAGTGTTGACACACACGGACGGACTCACGCTGCTGTTGCCATCTCTAGTTCTGGCCTCCTGGATCTCGTGACTCATCGATGGGCTGGGAAAGGAGGGACCTGGCGTTGGCTCCCAGCTTTACCCAGTGTCCCCTCGGGTGGGCACTCCTGTATGGTCAGACAAGTGAGCTCACGGAGGCCACGCCCAGGAGCTAGTTCTGTCCTGAATGCCCCGTCCCCAGAAGCCTGGCCTGTTTTCACCCCCAGACCTGCTCTAACTGCCCCCCCCGTGTGCCGCTGCTGACGGTGATCCCTGTATCTCCCATAATGCTCCTGCTGGTGTGTGTGTCACCCAGAGAAAGGACTCCACGGAAACAGTAACCCTTCGTCATCTTATCCAATGGGTGTGATTCACACTCACACAAAATTTAAAAACAAAACAACAGGAAGATCTGACTTTCAAACAGGACGTTCCCCTCCGGAGGCCTCGAGACCGCCTTTGTGCTAACAGCGTTCAAACACTCAGTTTTCGTTTGAGAGAAGCGTGTACTGTGTAAGCCTTGCAAAAAAATTATAATGATGAAGAAAAAGCCTGTTCTATGGCATTTGAACTTTTCTAAAGGTTTCCTTGTGCCAAAAAGTACAAAGATTTAATTTACTATTTAAACCATAAACATGCTATAGTTCCAGAAATTATTTTGTCATCCAGTGATTTTGATCTTTAGTGTCAATATTTATATTTAGATTAATTTTTATAAATGAAATATTTTGATGGTTTAAGCAGACGGGGATAGAGAGGACACTGTGTCTGACGGCTTCTCGGGCTTCTGCCTTCATGTCTCACACACTCGGCCAAGAACCACTGTCGAGAGAAACGACCAAGCAGTAAAAGTCACTAAGAGAACAGTTCCTGTGTGTGTGTTTATTTGTTCATTTGCTGGTTTTGGTGAGAAGAGCTTGGGCGCCTGTGTCCCTGCCGGTTAGTTCTACACCCCCACACACACGCACACCCACACTCGTGTCTGAGCACACTGCTTCTCTCTCCCCAGTGGGAGGAGGCAGTTTCCCAGCAGCCCCCCCCCACCACCCCCGGGGAGCAGCTCAAGGGGGGGGGGGGGGGGGGAGCTCCGCTTTGTCCTTAGCTCTGCCTCGTGGATAGTCAGACAACATCTGGCCTCTCTGTCCCGCCATCTGCCTGCCTGCCTAGCCATGTGCTCACGTGAGGGAGTGCATGTATCACCCTGGTCTGCATGTGGAGGCTAATGCCAGGTCAATGCTGGCTACCCTCGCCACCTTACTTTTGAGGCCTCCCCCCACTGGTCCTGAGCTCCCTGCTCCAACTGGCTGAGGAGAGAGCTCGGAGCCCACTACTCTCTCCGTCCCCCAGCACTGGGATAACGTGCGCACCTGCACTGGCTCTCTGCTTTGCTTCCTGAGGCGTTGGGAATCTGAGCTCAGAGCCACAAGCCTCCTGAGGACCCGACACATCCACCTCCCCAGCCCATGTGGGCAATCGACCAAAGCGCCGGAGGATTCTGTCACCGGCAGTGGGATCCTGCGAGCAGCATCGGATGCACAGGGCGACTCTAGCCAGACACTTCACGGTGCCAAGGGTGAGGCTGCTGAGCTGGTGAGACCCCGGCGTTGACCCGGGTGTCCGTGGGCAATGTCTGTGGACACTGGAGGGTCCCCCTCCCATCTTTCGGTGGCCTGGAAGGCTGCACGTCCTACTGTGCCCAGGACACCCAAGCCAGGCATTGGTGTGTGCCATCCACAGACAGGAGTGGAAACCCCATTGACCTGGAAAAAACAAATGTGTGGAGAGCCCGAACGCTGACAGCCTCCACTCTAAGCCCCCGGACACTGCTGAAATACAGCTGCTCCTTCAAAGCTGAACCTTTCTGGGAGGGCAGACAGGCGTGTGAGGAACCTGCGAGGGTGGGAAGGAGGCTCGAGAGGCTTCTCTGGGTCGTGGAAGCTGTGAGCTGTCGCTGGGAGAGGAGAGACTCTGTGGAGTTGCCTCTCGTGTCTCTCATCTCTCTCATCATGCTCAGCTGTCACCCACAGCACCCTGGGCCTTTGGCTGATGCATCACACGTCCCCGAGTTCCAGCAAATGTCCCCAGTAAACTCACCGAGTCACCGAGAGTTTGGGGGACGGTGTGTCTTGTGTCCGTCATCCCCTGAGGGAGAGTCATGCAGGGCACACCCTCAGGTACTTAGCATCACCCGGGGGCTTGTTCATACTGGCCCCACCCCGTGCTGTCTCTCTCACAGCATCCCCAAGTGGCGCTGACGCTGTGAGTCCCTGGGGGGAGCTCCTAAAACCGCTGGGGCAGGGGAGAAAAGGGAGGTGCCCACCTGATATCAGAAGCCTCGCCTGCCCCCGGGACATCACAGCTCCAGTGGAATCAAGAGAGTATGAGCCCCTTCCCGTGGGTGAGGACCACACACCCACCCTCCTTTCACACAGGGCAACTAATGCCAGGAAAGCCAGGGAGCCGAGGAGCCTGGATTCACTCACTCACTTACTTATTTGGTTGGCTTTTCGAGACGGGGTTTCTCTTATAGTCCTGGCTGTCCTGGACTCGCTTTGTAGACCAGGCTGGCCTCCTGGGTGTGGGATTAAAGACATGTGTGTGTGTCCCACCGTGCCCAGCTGAAGCTGGGGACTCAATGGTACTTGGGCAAACAGCCCCCTGTCCACACCTAACTGTGCTGCTAGGCAACAGGAGACTGGAAAGAGGGTTTAACCTCCACAGGCCACCACCCCGCTGCTCACTTGTCTCTGAGCCCTCCCATCCATGCAGGTGACATTTCATTCCAACAACTTTGAGAACGGCCAGTGTGCTTCGGCTGAGTGTGATCCAGGGCCGTCGGGGTCTCACGGCGAAATCACATGCCTCAGCTGCTGTGGCCTCGACACTGAGGAGGTGGCCCAAGGGCCTTCTCTCAGGGAAGCTTCTGCCCCGAGGTACAGGGCAGGAGTTCCACCGAATCACACCCGGTGTTTGTGGCTTCGGTTTGTGTCAGCTTGACACAAACTAGAGCCAGAAGAGAACAGCTCAGCTGACGACTGCCCCTGTTGGACTGGCCCCATGGGCCAGGCTGTGGGGCATTCTCCTGGTTAATGGCTATCGTGGTGGGTGTGGCCCACTTCGATGGCATTTCCCCTGACCAGGTGCTAAGCCGAGGAGCCAGCCAGGAAGAGGCACCCACCACGGCTCCCGCCCTGACTCCCCGAATGAGGCACTGTGGTCCATCAGGATGTGCAAGCCAAGTAAACCAAGATGCTTCAGGCCGTGGTGCTGACCACAGCGGCAGAGAACGAAGGAGGACACGGCTTGTCGGGACAAAACCAGCAGCTGGCACGATGCCCGTGTCCTCCAAACACAAGCCCACAGGACTTCGAGGGTCCCTGGTTTGCCATCCAATGACAGTCATGGGGGAGCTGGGCTGTCCCCTCATCAGTGTCACGGGAAGGGGGGACCTCTCACTGACTGTCACAGAAGATGATGGACAGCGGGGGTGCCCAGGACAGCCATGCTTCCCAGGCCCGGGAGGTCCCCTGAAACAGATGATAGGTTGTCACCATCAGGGAAATGAGGCCTCTGCACGTCCCTGAGACGGGTCTCTCTGTGCAGCCCCACTGGCCTCACACTCGCTGTGCAGGCCAGGCTGGCTGAGGTCACAGATCTGCTCCCCTCTGCCCTCTGGGTGCTGGGATTATAAGCAGATGCCCTCAGGCCTGGCTTCTTCATACTCGTGAGTACTCGTGTTGGGAGTGGCTAAAGCAGTGACGGCCTGGTGGGGCTGGCTCCGCGGGCAAAGCCCTGATGGCAGCAGTCCCCAGAGCACACGTGAACACGCCAGGCATGGAGCACCTTCCTGTAATCCCAGCTCTGGGAAGCTAGAAACGGGGAGTGGGGGGTGGAGCTGGGGGGCGGATCCCTGGGGCTCAATGGCTAGCCTAGCCTGATTGGTGAGCACCAGGCCAGGGAGAGACCCTGGCTCAGAAGAGAAGCACGCCAGGCCTGAGGATGGCACCCTGGCTGCCCTCCGGCCTCCTGATGCTGAAGGCCCAGCTGGGGGCATTCTTTTAATTATGATTGACGTGGGAGGTGGTCCTAGGCTGTTTAAGAAGGCAGACTGTGCAAACCCCGGGGAGCAAGCCAGCCAAAGGCCTCTAAGGTCTCGCCCTCTGCGCCTGCCCCGACTCCCCTCAGGAGGGACTGTGAGCCGGAAGACCATTCCCTCCCAGCGCTGATTTGGTCCCCGAGTTCATCCCAGCAACAGAAAGCACACGCTTTGGGAACTTCAGAGAAGTGATCAAAGGTTCCGGCTGGTAGAACCACGTCTTTAAATGCAAGGCAGGCTGTTTTCCATCAGGGCTGTCTGGAAGGGATGGAGGAGCGAAGGCCAGTTCCTGCTGGGACATTCTGAGCTGACGGGTCTGAGGCGGGGTAGCCCCGGGTGTGTCATGGCTGTGGGGCACACTTAGAGCACCCGGCTTCACTTCGGGGCCTCTGGGAGCAGATCTGCTGGTGGCTCTGTCGAGGTTTTCTGTTCTTCCTTCTCTCACGTGT